TTCCTGCTGTTGCGTCTTTTTAAAAAAATTGAATTTGATGAAAGTTTGTCTATTTATTGGTCTTTTCAAAGAATCAGTTTTAGGGTTTATTTTATTTTATTTATTTTTTTATTTTTATTTTTTGCGGTATGCGGGCCTCTCACTGTTGTGGAGCACAGGCCCCGGACGCGCAGGCCCAGTGGTCATGGCTCATGGGCCCAGCGGCTCCGCGGCACGTGGGATCTTCCCAGACCAGGGCACGAAACTGTGTCCCCTGCATCGGCAGGCGGACTCTCAACCACTGCGCCACCAGGGAAGCCCTGTTTTAGGGTTTATTGAGGAATGTTTTTGTTTTATATTTTATTAATTTCTGTTTTTATTTTAATAAATGCATTTCTTCACACTTTGGGGTTATTTTCCTATTCTTTTCCCATTTATTCGTTTATTTAGTGTAAACTAAAAAAAAAAGTTAATTTTGGCTCTGAATTGTCCTTTGGCTTACTGGTGCATCTCATAAATTTAAGATATAGCGTGGGACTTCCCTGGTGGTCCAGTGGTAAAAAATCCGCCTTGCAATGCAGGGCACATGGGTTCGATCCCTGGTCAGGGAACTAAGATCCCACATACCGTAGGGCAACTAAGCCCGTGCGCCACAACTACTGAGCTTGCACGCCTCAACTAGAGCCCGCGTGCAACAAACTACAGAGCCCACGTGCTCTGGAACCCGCATCACGACTACAGAGCCCATGCGCCCTGGAGGCTGCACGCCACAACTAGAGAAGAGAAACCTGCACGCCACAACTAGAGAGAAGCCTGTGTTCCACAACGAAAGATCCCGTGTGCTGCAACTAAGACTCAAAGCAGCCAAAAATAAATAAATAATAAATAAATAAATAAATATAATAAATAAATCTTAAAAAAAAGAAATAAACCAAACAATCTCAGGCCCAGGCGAGGCGGTCTCAGTTAAAAAAAAAAAAAAAAAAAAAAAAAAGGAAGATATAGTGTGTTCACATTCTCATCTCTGAGTAGTTTGTAGCCTCAGCTGTGAGTTATTTAGAAGAGTGGCTCTAAACATTTAAGTGAACAGATTTTGGAGGGGCTCTTGGTTTTATGGTTCCTAATTTTTTATGTATTGAAGTCAGAGAAGTTTTCGAATTTATTGAATTCTTCTTTGTGACTTAAATCTTGCCTAATTTTTATGAATCCTTCTGCAGCTTAAAAAGAACTTTGTTTTTTTGCCATTTGTTGAGTATAAATTTATTAGATGACGTTTGTTAATTGCATTGTTTAGATGTTCTTTGCCCTTTCTTCTATTTTGTTCTAACTTGTCATTTTTTTTTCTTTTTTTGGTAGTTTCCTATAGTTTAGATTTTTGTTTTAACTTTTTATTTTATATTGGGGTGTAGTTGATTAACAATGTTGTGTTTGTTTCAGGTGTACAGCAGAGTGATTCAGGTATACATACACAGGTATGATCTGTCATTTTCTACACACTGTATCAAAGTCTCCCACTTCGTGTGAGTGTGTGTGTATGAATTTTCTCCTTATTGTTCTATCCGTGTCTGACTGACATATTTCCAAACTGTATTGTTAGGCTTACGTGCTTTAATGATTGTTATATATTCTCGATGGATTATACCTTTTATCAATATCAAATATCCTTCTTTGTCCTGTTTAATGCCTTTTTTCACCTGGAATTTTATTTCTTCTGATGCTGCTATTACTATACCTACTTCTTAGGTAAGCATTGTCTGGTATTCTTTTTCTGTTTCTTTATTTTTGTTCTCTTTAGGTCATTTTATTTTACCCCATCTATTATAAACAGGCTACGGCTAGATTTCTTAAAGCCAAGATTAGAGTATCTTTTAATAGAAGATTTTAATTTTTAGTGATTATTAATATCTTTGTTTTCTTTCCTGTCACTTTATGTTTTAATTTTCTTTCTTTCCTGCCTTCTTTCGTCTTTCCTTCCTTTTGCTGAATTGCTAAGGTTTTCTTTGTTTTTCTTCTAGTGGTCTAGAATGTACTAGCCCATTTCTGTTTTTCTAACGGTTGACTTTTAAATATTTAACATCCGTTTATACGCACGTCCCCCTCCCCATGCACAGAGTTGAACAGTATCTATTTTTCTCCCCAAACAGGAGGAGAATCTTCACACACTTTCATGTTTCTCATCATTCCTGCCTTGTTGAGATAATATGGGATTTTACTTCCAAATTGCATTCAAGGTTTTAGATATACTTTCCCTTAACAATTATTTAGAATTAACAGGAGATTTGTAATTTCTTTGCCGACAGCTCAGAACTATGAACTTCAGTGGTTCTTTACTCATAGCATTTCTCTGCCCACTCGACTTCTTAGATTAATCTTTCATTGTGTGGAAATACATCCTTGTGTAATAAAAAAAAAGGTAAACTTCCTGGGTTCTTACACTTCTGGAAACATCTTTATTTTGCTCTGTTACTTAAATGCTGATTAGGCTGCATTATAGGAGTCTAGGTTCGGTAATACATTTCCCTCCTAATCCTAGATGTCTTACTCCTTTGTCTGCTGTTATACAGTAGATGATGAGGAGAATTCTAATGACAGTTGATACTGCTGAAAGTAATTGACTTTTCCTCTTTGGAAGCTTTTAGGATATTTTCTTTACTCTTGGTTTTCTGAAACTTCATCATGCGTCTAGCTACGGGTCTTCTGGATTAACCTGTTCTGCACTTACTAGGCCTTTCAATCTGACGGCATGTATCTTCATTTGAAATTTTCTTTGCTCATTCCTGTATGTCCTTCTCTCCATTCTTTCAGTGCTTTTTTGTCTCAGTTTGTATCACAAAGATGGGATTTTCTGGCTCTATCCTCCATGTGTAAACTTTTGTATCAATCTCTTTGTCCTTTTGGCTGTACACTGAGACAATTCCTGGCTTGGTCTTTCAGATCATTAATTCCTTCTTGAGCTATGTCCACTTAAAAAATATTCCGGATTTCCCTGGTGGCGCAGTGGTTGAGAGTCCGCCCGCCGATGCAGGGGACACGGGTTCGTGCCCCGGTCCGGGAAGATCCCACATGCCGCGCAGCGGCTGGGCCCGTGAGCCACGGCCACTGAGCCTGCGCGCGTCCGGAGCCTGTGCTCCGCAACGGGAGAGGCCACAACAGTGAGAGGCCCGTGTACTGCAGAAAAAAAAGAAAAAAAAAGAAAAAAAAATTCCAACAACTGGGACTTCCCTGGTGGCACCGTGGTTAAGAATCCGCCTGCCAATGCAGGGGGCACGGGTTCGAGCCCTGGTCCGGGAAGATCCCACAGGCCGCGGAGCAACTAAGCCCGTGCGCCACGGCTACTGAAGCCCGCACGCCTAGAGCCCGTGCACCACAACGAAGAGTAGCCCCCACTCGCTGCAGCTGGAGAAAGCCCGCGTGCAGCAGTGAAGACCCAGTGCAGCCAAAAATAAATAAATAAATAAATAAATAAATAAATATTTTAACAATTGTATGTTTTCTGAGTTCTCTCTTTAATTAAATTTAATTCTCTCTTTAATTTGTTCTGATTAATAATGGCTTCTCCTCCTCCCCTCACTCCTTTCTAAGTCGACAGATGTGTCAGGTTCTATAATCTCTCTAAAGACACAAATGATGCTTATTGTCAAATATTTTTCCTCTCCCTATTCTTTTCCTCCTGATGTGTTCATTCATCTGTTAGGTGAGTGTGGTGACTTCTTTTTTGACATTGATTTTCCCCCAGTACTTTGGGGTGACTGTTACTGCTCTTTGTGATCGAGAGCCCAGTACGCAACTCTGTGGATCAAGCTCTCGTTGCAGGAGCATCTCTGGGGACCATGGAAGACAAGACAAGATGTGCTGCCAGGTGGGGTGGACAGGTAGCTTCTCTTAAAGGGTGGCTTCCCTTGGGGCCCTGCTTTACTTCTTAGACCCCAAAGCCCAGGCTGTGGTGGCAGGGTTCTGTTTTCAGCTTGTGGGCATCAGCAAACGCTCTCCCAACGCGGGTCACCAGCTGTCCTGGTGCCTGGCCCCTGTGGACCCTGAGCTTGGGGAGGCCCTGGCTGCTCTCGCTCCTTCACAGGCTCACCTGCTTTGGGATGTGTTTTCCTCCGAACCTGGTCCTTTGTCCATTGAATCCCATCTGCCTGCCTCTGCTGAAGACTTCCTCAGCACTGCTGGCTCAAAATGGCACTCTTTCTTGGCTTTTATCCTTCCTTATTCTTTTACAAACTATCTCCTGTCGTCAAGGACTTTAGGAAAGGAGAGGGGAGACCCATGTGCCCTGGCCCACGTGTGTCCAAATCCCATATTTATATGCGGCTCAGGTGTAAACGTTGCTGTGAGGCTGTGGTTTACGATGGCCCCGTGTTCTCCTGGCTACCACCTGTGGGAGGGTGATGTCGGACTGATATTTAAGGGGACTGCCATTCTGACTGAACTCATTTTGAGCAATAATGATTTGTGGGCTTGGATGTGGGGAAAGGATTCCTCAGAGCATAGTGAAGGTGGGGTTATTTGATGCGGAGGGTCCCTGGATCTTCGGAAAGAAGCCCAGGGGCCGGTAAGGGCTCAGTGCCTCTCCCAGCACCTTAGCATGGAGAGTACAGGTGCTGGAATGGAATCTAGGCATCACCAGGGACTGAGTAAACACTTCTCATCACCACCAGCCCTGGACCAGGTGGGGGTCCCAGAGCCCAGGCTGTGACGAGCTGGATGGTGAGACGAGCCAGGGGAGGGGCAGCCCAGGGGGTCACTGGGATCCAGAGGAGGAAGGACACGGGGCTGCCGCACGGACTCCTTCCCTCGGGGTCGGGCGGGACACACCCCTCCCCCAGCTGTACCTGTGGCCACGGCCTCCCCAGAGGGTGAAGGCTGGCGCCGGCTCAGCCACGGGGGGACCTAAGTGCCGTGGACGGAACCACTGAAACAGACAGTGGCACCAACTCTGGCAGCTGGGCTTGTCTGAGGAGGAAACTGAGGCTCGGAGTCATCTGCTGTCTCGCTCAAGGTCACTCAAGGTCACATAGCGAGTGTTTCTGCAGGCCTGGCTCGGCTTCCAACCAGGGTGCTCTTGGAGTTCGATTCTGATCCCCTACTGGCTTCCAGGGTCAGCGGCAGGGGCCACGTCCAGTCGTTATAAATGACAGTGAAAGGAAGGCTTCCCGGTCCCCCAGCCCCAGCTCTCGTCGTGCGCCCAGGCCAGGGCCGTGCCGAGCAGGTGTCCCGTGTGCACCTGTCCGCACCTGTGTGCACACTCACCTGAAGAGCAGCAGCACGGCCTGGGGGAAGGTCTGGAAGTTGTTGTTCCTGTTGATCTCTGTCGTGTCATTCAGGGCGATTTTCCCGAACACCTGGCAGGGGGAGAGGACGGGGTCTGTGAGCTGTGGACAGAGGGGTCCTGGTTCCCACCCATCATTCAGTGGTCTCTTCAGGGGTCACAGTCCACCCTGGATGGGCTGGCCCATGAGCTGAAGAGAGTCCCCTCTGTGACCTGGAAGGCCTCGCGGGGCCAGGTACCTGTTGCCCTGTCCAGCCCCTGATCCCAGGACCCCACTCGGGACAAGCATCGAAGAAAAGTGCCCTCGGCCCTCGCGAGGGGCCCTGGGCCCAGCGGGAGGGGGGCTGAGAGGGCGTGGAGGCTGAGACCCTGACCCTGCGTCTGTGCAGGGACAAGGCTCGCTGGCCTTCCTCTTTCTTTTTCCTTTCTTTTTGGCTGCAGATTCTTGAGACTATTTTTCTTGCCTCTTTAAAAAATACTTTATTGAGGAATAATTAACAAATAGGCCCTTCACATAACTTGGGGGAGTTTTTCCCTATAGAGAGTGGAACCTGGGCCAGGGGCAACGGGGAGAGAGGGTCTGAGAGCTGTGTGCCCCCAGGACACCGCGGGGGTGGGGGGAGAGGTCCAATTCCGGTGACCTTTCCAGCCTCAGAAGGAGGGCCGGGTGTCAGGGGATGCGGGCTGGGGGCCGGGCGTACCTGCATCCCGATGACGGCGTAGATAAAGAACAGCATCACGATCAGGAGGGCGACGTAGGGCAGGGCCTGGCGGGGGCACAGAAGCCGTGAGGTCGGCGGGGCGCCGGCGGCTGGGCCCCTCCCCGCGCGGCGTCTCCTCAGTCGCCAGCTGCTGCCTGGCTTGGGGGGCACTTCCAGGAGCCCCGCAGATGTTCTGCGCACTAAATGGGAGGAGCCTGAGCCTGGTGCCGACCCCTCCCCTCACCTGGGTGTCAAGCACCCGAGACCTGGGGAGGTCCGCCCAGAAAGGTGGGCTCTGAGCTCGGGGCTTGGCATGACGCTCCCTCGGTACAAACAATCTAGAAAGAGCGAAACACCCTCCCGCCACCCACCCGTCCTCGTGCAGCCGGAGGGCCGTGGGGGACACCCAGCAGCCCCTCTCCCCCTCACAGCCGTAAGCTGTTCCGCCAGGTGTAGGAAAGGCAGGACGAAGGGGCACTAGACAAAAGCGAGACCCTGGGCTCAAGCCCGCTTGCGCCACTGTAGCTGTGGGAGCTGGGCTGGGCTTATCCTCTCTGAGCCTCAGGGTCCTCATCTGAGAAATGGGAAGAAAAGCAACGACCTCGGGGGGTTTTGGGGCCTGGCTGATTTAAGGCTCGCAAGATGCTTGGGCAGGACCTGGCCCGCGGCCGGCCTCTGCGCTTTACTCACTGCGTGTGCTCCCCACATCCTCCCCGGGAGGGGGCCTCGTGGCTCACGGGGTGGATGGAGCCCGCACACCACTAGGTGGCACTGCGGGACCACGGGCCGTCCGGCCTGGTGGGCGCTCGGGCTCCACCTTCAGTGGCGCCCAGGAAATGTCGGGGGTGGGGTGAGCACGTGGGGCCGGTACAGTCACCCACGGCTGAGGCCGGGGCCACCGTCATTCTGCTTTCACAGAAGGAAACGAGTGCTCGGGGCAGAGAACTGGCCCCGTGGTGGGCAGCCCTGGGTCCACACGGGGCACACCAGGGTCCTGGGGAGTCCGGCTAAGTCCCTAAGCAAGTGTGGACAGCAGACC